AGTTTGTTTTTAAAAAAATATGTGTATTTAGAAAATGTGCTTATATAGGAGGTGACTATAGAGAGGTCAGACTGTAATCGGAAAATCGATCCTACGCCCCGTCAATTTCTAGTTTAGCCAATAAAAACGGTGATCTGCGTTACACAGACGCGTCAGATAATAAAAGTTTACTTGACCTTTCGAAAACACTTCGCCTCTTTCATACAACAGCGAAACCCAGATGGTATCATTTGAACTAAATTCGTTTTTCGGAAAAGATAATAATTTGAATTACTATTAACTTGCTGCCCCCGTAAATCTCACGTAATTCTCAAAATAGTCGACAAAAAAGCTCTCAGCTGCTGAAAAACGCAAAAGACTTGAAGAATTATTTCATGAGACGGTATTTAACCTATCGCTTATATACCTTTAAGATTAATATATGTATTAAGATTTTTGATGCAAATTGATATCTCAGAAAACCTTTTACCAACTTAGAGAGCTTGAGAAGCTCGCGCCAAAACGAAAAGGAATAGGTAAACTTAACTAAATATCATCCAATTCAACTTTTCTTTATTTACACTTGATTTTTTTTTTTTTTATATATGAAGTGTCACAATCGGTTAAAGATGTTCTTCAAGAATTAGTAAATGATAATCTTGTCTCTCAAGATAAAATTGGCACATCAAATTATTTTTGGTCGTTTCCTAGCAGCGCTCTTCAATCGGTAAGGCAATTTCTAATCAATAGTATTATATACTATTAGTTCCGTTAATAAATTTTTTTGTTTTAAATTGTTAGCGAAAAGTTAAAATCGAAGAGCTCCAAGAAGAAATCAATAAATTGAAAGAAAAAAATGCTGATCTACAAGCGAATATCGAAAAGGCTTCTGGTGGTCGTGAAGATTCGGTATATGAATTTAATTTAACTTGCATTAATTTATCTAATATATTAACGCTTCTTTAAACTAACAGGCTGAACGAGCTTCCTTGTTGAAAACTTTAGCAGATGCCGAAGCTTTGGACAAGAAGAACGAGGAAGAACTGAAGCGTTATCGTGAATGTGATCCAGTGACTTTAAATGACAAAGGTTGTTAACGAAATCATTATTATTTTTTGGTTCTTATTATTAACGTTGTTTTTTTTTTTAATTTAAGAGAAATACGCTAAATTATACTTGGAAGGGGCTAATCGTTGGACAGGTAAGAAATATTTATATACTTTATAGTTTTAATATTTAATACTGTTACATGAGCAATAAATTTAATTTCTCAACAGATAACATCTTCATACTCCAATCTTATTGTGCAAATAAATACAATATTGAACGAGCCGATTTTAATAGGCAATTCGAAATACCCGATGATTTCGATACCTTAGAATAATAAACTAAATTCAGACAATTTATTATAATTGACGCTTAAACTAATTATACATTTATATTACAATTACTATAACTACATTGTAATTGCTAATTACTAAAAAAAAAAAAAAAAAGAAAATCTTTAATGTTCTTCAAATTCTTCATCAATTATAATATGTTCCTCATCTCTTGGCAAATTTCTATAGTTTCCAGGTCGACGTCTTGGTTGAAATATAGGAATAGGACATTGTGCTAGTATTATCAGAATCATATCCTGAAATATATATGTATATATTCACGTTAATTGACTAAATGATAGAAATAAAGAATAAATAATACGAAAAAATCTGCAACTAGTACCTTAGTGAAATCCAATGTGTCTCTCCAGAATTCCCAATGAGGGATTTGACGTACCCCTGAAGCATTATAAACTATTCGATTATATACAACTCCGCCTATAAAGTAGACTGCCAATGCGATTCCAAGACTACAAAATAAATTATATGTACATTGAAAATGATTTATATATATAATGTAACATTAAAAATGAAGTATTATACTCACATTGTAAAGAAAACACCTATAGCACCCGTACTCTGACTATTCATCTTTACAGGGCATGCACTAGGTGTTCTCCATTCAAACCAAAATGCGCAATCTTCGAATACGTTGATAAGCTTTGGAGGATGCTACAGTAAAAGCAATTCAAATTATAAAAAGAATCGAACAACAGTAGTGAGAATTTCCCTAAAAATAACTCACTGATTTTTCAACCGTTTGGTCACAAATAAAACGAATCAAAGACGTATAGTAGTACGCCGAACTTATTCCCTTACAATTATTGGGCCCTTCGTATTTCAAAAATAACATATCATCTGAAAAGAAAAAAAATGAACGTAGGTAAAGCGGTTATAGGTGATAGATATTTGAAATGGATTACGATACCTATCAAATACGGAGTCGTATTGTAATTGCTTTTTTATATTATAAATGAATATGATAAAATTTTTAGGGACACAATAAATAAATAGAAATAGTGTATCATAAACTCAATTTACTGTGTTGATACGTGTAATATGGTAGTAAAATCATTATTTTTTTTTTTTAATAATCGTTAAATCGAGTCCTCAATCGATTACAATAATATTGCCCACGTATGAACGCAGTATCGTAATTTTCCGTATAAACCACCACCACATTATGTCTGTCGATAAAAGGTGAAAAGTACGAGACCCGTATCTATAACGTGGTTTATATTACATACGTTATCACATTATCAGTTTTACATATTTCTACATACAAGCTCTCAATTTTTAAATAAGAGACTCAAGTGGTTTATGCGGCAAATTAGGATAAATTGAAACAGTAGTAATACAAAATTATTACATGCAAGACATATAATCAGCAAAATATTATAAACTTACCCTAAATTTTCCTCAGAAGTTTTTGAAGTTTCTGTTTCTCTACCCCAAACACCAGCATTTTCTTTATTTGTAACAGTACCAGGTTCTTTTAAAGCTTTACAAACACTCAATCTAAACTCATATTTGAAACCATTCGATTCAATTTTCCAATCTCTGCATTTGAAAAAAAAAAAATCATTAGTTTAGAATATAAAATATATTTAACGAAAAACGGAATATTAAATCTTTTTATGTAGAAAATATTCCAAAGCCATTACTCATTAAGAAACAAATAGCATACTCTGTTCTCTTCAAACCTGACAAGTCATAACTTAGTTGTGAAGTAGCATTGGTGACTTTACAGTCAGCCGAACTGTCCTCAGCTTTTACATATGCATACAATGTGGTATAAATGCATAACCAAAATATTAAGGTCTTAAAAAAATTTCGAACTGATGGTAAATAAAATGACGTGTGCTGTATCATTTTTTATTTTTATTTACTTATTTACTTTTTTTTTTTCCTTTGATATAAAGAAGTGAAAGAAGACTAGTCGGAGATGTAACGTTTACCGATCTTCAGATAACGTATCATTTGGCGTTATTAGGTCTTATGCCCAATAACCTGTACCCGAATCCTGTCTTACTCTAAATCACATGATATCATATCTAATCAATAAATTTTACTCATTCTCGAATCTCGTTGAATCTTAACACATATAATATGGCATTCCCAAATAAAGAGCCCATTTCAAAAGAATTAATATACATGCAAATGGTTCAAGAATCATGTATTTTCAAAGTTGCTCTAAGCGGTGTAGCAGGTAAAACTAAAAAAAAAACTCCCAGACTCCCTTGATTACTTTTGTCTCAAAAAACATCCGACACTTCACCCATTAATTTTGCTTTATTATTCTCCGTAAAACAGGATTTGCACTTGGTGGTCTTTTCGGAATGTTTTTTTCTTCATTCGAAATGACACCAGTTGACCCAGCAATATATGAACAGCCAATGAAACAACAATTAAAAGCTACCGCAAAAGATATGGCCAAAAGGACTTTTTCTACAGCTAAGAACTTTGCTATTGTTGGTGCAATATTTTCTGGTACTGAATGCATTATAGAGGGGGTATGTTTGTAAAAGTAGTTTATCAAACTTTCTTTTATTCTCTTTTTCTTTTTTTTTTTTTTCAAATTCTGAATAATATTTTCGAAAAAATAGTATCGCGCCAAAAATGATATATATAATGGTACAGCTGCAGGATGCATAACTGGTGCAGTACTAGCTGCTAAGGCAGGGCCTCAGGCTGCTTTGTTAGGATGTGCAGGGTTCGCCGCATTTTCTACAGCTATTGATCTTTATTTTAGACGAGAGTAGAGATGCAGATAGTAGCTTGCCTCGGTTCAGCTTAAGTTAGTAAAGTTGAACAGGTTCATTACAGGCTAAGCAACTCTAGTACGAGCTAATTTATTATATTAATGATATGTCACTATTGCATGTATTAAGTAAGGCTCGAATCTATTTGTCAACAAAGTGTTAATGGGTAAAAAAAAAAAAATTTTTAATTTACCGACATTTGCTGCTGCTTTATAGCATCTCCGGCAGCCTCTTAAATTAGCTCGCATCTGCTACCATATTTTTTGCGTAATAACGCTTATAAGCGTTATTTCAAAAATTGTATCACCCAAAATAACACGCATGACGTCGAAATGACACTCATGCTCGTCCCGAAATAATGATATTTAGCAATACGTAAATGGCTTCCTATGTTTCTTTAACTCAAAATAACGCAAATGCGCGTACTTGAAATAACGCGTAAGTGACGTTATTACGCGAAAATACGGTAGCCGGACATTGTATTGCTTGACAATCTCTGACTTCTTACACTTCTATTACGAACATGATGCGCCTCACGTTATTAGAGTTTTCACCACTTTCATTTCGAAATGCGAATATATTAAAATTGTTTTTATGCTTGCAAAAATAAAGTGACATCTTTATATTTCCACGTGTTTCGAGAGTGACATCATACGAGTTGTTAAAAAGTGAATAGCGTCTAAATACTGATTCCAAAGTGCGAACTTTTTTGGTTCATCACTTACAAGTGTCCATTCAATCTATTTATCTTTAAAATTCGGTCAAATGGTTAAAATTTAAATTTGTCTGACCATGTTAACGATAATGATACTCGATTAATCACTGCCGAATAAAAAACTTATCGAATCGGCCAAATAATCATTCTGTCAATTTTTTTTTCCAGATGTCCCAAAATTTATGAGAACAGCTGTAAAAAATTTTTTATAAAAGTTTTTTAAAACTCACCCGGTAATTACAGCTGTTCTCATAAATTTTGGGACATCTAGTAAAAAATTGACCGAATGATTTTTTGCCGATTCGATAAGTTTCTGATTTCGGTAATGAGCGATTACGTAATAATGAGCATATCTCGCTAAATAATTGTG